CTCCTCAAACTTCCAGAACGGTTGATGGGGAGCCTGTGGACGGATCTTTGTCCTGTGATGGACAGAAGACGAGTCCAAGGTGGACCTGGTCTCAGACCCAACGCCGTCTGCAGGTAGGAACGGGTCTCAGAGCTCTGATGGATCCACCATGACGATAACTTTCCCTCCATTTCCTTCTTCCTTTTTAATCCTCTGCTGCTGTTTTTCATCCATCATGGCGGATAGCAGCCTTTAGGACTCAATCTGGACGCCGCTGATCTACGGTTTAATGATGTTCCACTGATGAAACTATGTTATTATTAGTTTATAATGTTATTAAGTTCTAATTTCTAATAGATTCAACCTTTAACTTCTATTCTATAGACAGAATTAAAACTCTCCTGTTTTATTTCGGTTTGATTTTATATAATAAATAATATCTGTCCTTGTTTTATTGTGGTATTTCTATGCTGTAGTTCTTTCCAGGTGGTGTAGAATCTATGTTAGGCGGTTCTACGCATCAATATATCAGGTGGTTTCTGAAAGTTACAGGTTGTTTAAAATTACTCTGAAAATTAGACAGAAATGTTCTGAATTAATATTTATAAATACTGCAGTATTTTCAAAGTGAGTATCAGTGTGGAACACAGCATGAAGCGATGATATGGCCGTCACATTTGGACTACAACCTTTAGAAAAAGAACTACAAGAACCAAAGTTCCCCAAATGAACAATCAGCTGAAGTTATAAAACCCAAAACATCTGAAGGTGGAACTTTTATTCCGTCACAGAAAACAGGAAGGAAATCATCTGTTCAGCTCTGTGAGGCAAAGTGGGCGGGTACTTCCTGTTAGCAAAGGACTCTGGGAAACGGTTTAGCACCTGGAAACAGGTAGGAGTGTCTGGAGGTCCCTATGCTAAAGGAACCATGGAAGGAAGCATCCTAATTCCTCCCAGTACTATTCAGACAGTCCTAACCATGGAGACCACTGAGGCGTTTGATTGGCTGAAGAGTCCTTCCTGATTCAGGTGGACTCAGACCGCCAGGCTGGACCAGCAGCCAGGTAGACCATGGTGACTGTGGGGGAGCTACAGACAGCCATGGCTCAGGTGGACGGTCTGTTCAGAGGAAAGGAAGGAACTCTCTGTGGTTTCCTTCACCGCCTACCGCCCCGATCTACAATGTGGTTCTGATCTGTGGGCGGGGCCAGACGGTCTGTAGGACTGGATCTGACCGCTTCCTCTGACCTACTTCATCAGTAGTGACTAAACCACCAA